TCCTACTTCGCGGAATTTCATTTATCATGGTGGGGTCTAGAACTGATTAACTGTGATAAACGAGGGTTCACTGTACATTGCTAACTTCACCATGACTACTCAAATGGAAACATCCCAATGTGAGTCACATGGACCAGAGAACAGTTTATAATTTCAAAAGCACTGCCACCAAGAATCATACCAGATTCCCACAACAACTCTCTGAGAGGACTAATATTATCATTCTAATTTAAAAATAGAATTAAATTAGAAAATATCGGATGAGTTTTTGGTTCGCACAATCTGTAAGTGGCGAGAAGAATCAGTACTCAAAAATAAACAGTGGTCAACAAACTCTGAAGAGGGATGTGCTCAGCAGCAGCAGAAGATTAGGGACTTCCTGAGTGGTGCTAAGGGTTAACGTGCTCAATCTCTCCATTCAAATCCACCTAGAGGTACCACATGAGACAGATCTGGCAATCTATCTCCACAAAGGCTGGGCCCTAAAAACCCAGTGGAGCAAAGTTCTACCACAAATTGGTATCAACTTCATAGCAACTGATTCCCAGCAACTGGGAATGCGGAAGAGGGTTTTATTTAGTTCTGTATGTTTGTCTCCTTTGACACTTCATCCATATTTTAGCATGAATCAGTACTGCAGTTCTTTATATTGCTGACTAATATTCCACTGTTCAGATGTCTTACATCTTGTTCATCCATTCAACTGATATCACAAAAACAATGATCTGCATAAGTAAAAAACTTAATATGACTGAATCACATGCTGAGCTAAAACTCCCCCCCTTCCATATTCTAATATTAAAGGTTATTAAGGTTCACTTATATTCAACAGATGAATAATGAATAATCAAGTAAAGAACTACACATAGATTCCCTATTGCTTCACGACAAAGAAAGTCGATCGGACCAGTCCAGGAAACTGGGCAAGAAGAGGGGTAAAAATTAGTTGTAGGTTTGTGTATACAGATTGAAAATGGAAGGAGAATTTTAAAAGTCAGTATTTCTGATAAAAGCATTTTGGGTTTGGACCAGACAGTATTTGTCAAATGATCAGGGGTAGTAGGAGTGGAGAGGAGGAAAGAGAATTAACAACACTGACTACAAAGGGAAACTACAGAATTCCTTCCTCAGGATGCTTAGGGGTTGAAAGGAAAGTAACTGCCAAGATGTAGTTCAGTTAAACTCAAGGCCAGGGAGCTGGCAACAGGCCTGTATTGGAAGGCCAATCTGGTTACATGCATCTGAGTCAAGTAATCTGATGGTGTCACCGACTCATTCCCAGGCACATCATGGGAGGCAGGATAGCACTGGGGCATGAGAAGTGGCTTCCGAATACAGGGCTCAAGCAAGTCATTTAATGTTCTTATGTACTTCTTGTTTGTATAATGGGGTTCGTAAGTGACCCCAGTTAATAGTATTCTGAGGGTTGAGAGAATGAATGGCCATGATGCGTCAGACTCATAGTAAGCACTCAGTAAATATTGGTCATTGAGCCATCATCATCATTACCAGTTCTCAAGTGAACTCCAACTCACGGTGAGCCCACATGCATCAGAGGACTGTGCCCTATAGACTTTTCAATGGCTGATTTTACACAGCAGGCTCCCAGGTGCTCCAGGTGGACTTGTCAATCACATACTACCTCCAATTTAGAATGACAAAGCAGAAGACAGAAAGCACCAGGGCCTGTCAAAAGAACAAACGGTCTTGGTCTTGGAAGAGGTACAGCCAAAATGCTCCTTAAAAATGAGGGTGGCGAGACGTCCTCTCACATACTTTAGACATGGTATCAGGAGACTCTAGTCCCTGGAGAAGGACTTCATCTTTAGTAAAGCAGAGGGGCGGTGAAAAAGAGGAAGACCCTCAATAAAACAGATTGACACTGCAGCTGTTACAATGGGCTCAAACATTGGTAAGGATGGCACAGAACCTAGCATTGTGTTGCTGTTTGTCCAGGGTTGCTATGAGTCAGAACGGACTCCACAGCACTTAACAACAACGGAATATGCATGGACAGGGGAAGTTATTGATGATATAGTACTAGCCCAAAGCTACAAGACAGTAATGGCACCATTTTAACTTAAAAAGATAAATTATTAGAGATTGGAAAAAAAGTCCATGCATAGCCACTACACTTGTAGGTTTACTTCATATAATTTAGAATGTTTCTGCATAGACGTTTCCCTCATCCATTCCTCTGGAAGGTAAGGGTAGTTCCATTTTACTGATGAGAACATCCTGGCTTCTCAGTGACTGGTCACAGGCTTACGAACAGAGGTTGCTTTCCTTCTCAGACTTCATCATGCTCCCCCCACCCCCCTCCCTTGCAGTATTCCAGCAGCCTCTGGCGGATGACCTCACTGCTTGCCAATGCACCTTCCTGTTCTAGGCCAGCGTGATCTTTACAACCACAATCCATGGAGATGCAACTTTCTGCTTCAAATCTTTTAAGCACAAGATACAACTTCAAATTGCCTCCATTGACGAAAGTCAGACACCTGGGTGTCATTTTCCTTGCCCTTCCCCCCTTTACCTGGTTAGCTGTACCTTGCCTAGTTTATTTACCTCACTCTAGTTTTGGTATACTCATTCTCACTGGTCCAAACTAGGATAAAAAGAGATGCCTGGAGACCAGTCAGGAGCGCCTCCTTCTCTATCTGTAACCACTCGGGATTGATCACACCGCGCTATGATGACACACCAGACTGTGGGTCCCTTAAGATCAGCAGAGGTGTCCTGGTGGCGCAGTGGGCTAGGCATTGGGCTGCTCAAGGCGGGGTCAGCCAGTTGGAAACCACTAGCCATTCAGCAGGAGAACGATTAGGCTTTCTACTCCCATAGAGTCATGGGAAACGCAGAGGCAGTTCTGCTCTGTCCTTTAGCCATTATGTGTCAAAATGAAGTGAAGGTCAGGAGTTGGGCCCCAGTCGATCTCCTACGTGCAGTGCCTGGCACCCGGTGTGGCCGAATGGATGGCCAACATTTTTGCACAAAGTCTAAAAAAAAAAAAGCCATCTACCAGTGTGAGTTCGAAAATGACCTGGAAGATGTTCCCTTGCGGATCGCAAAGGTGATAAGATCGGCTTGTTTGAATGTGATACGGCATGCCTCCCGCAGGGGGGTGGGGTGGAGCCACCTAGGAACCAGGCAGCAGGGGTCAGCGGCCTCCACCCTTATTATATACAGCCCAACCCAGCTCGAGCAGGTTTTATGCGTCCTCATGTCTGCAAGCACTGCTGAAACCAGTCCACCGTGGGTGACCCTGCTGGTATTTGAAATACGAATAACTTAGCTGTGACACGATCACAGCACCACGCATGCCACCACAGCACGACACAATGACAGACGAGGAGGGAAACAACACCTAGCAAGTCGGGAACACTAGGCAAACGACCCCGAGCCCCAGAGTCCAATGGCCCCGGCTTCTACTCTGAGCAAGGCACCAGTGTCCTCCTCTGCAAAGAGGGCAGCCTCGGAGACTTGCAAGGCCCCACCTCCGCACTGTGAACGGCAGATCCCTTCTCTAAGGGGGCTCTGACTTGCCCGGAGCTCGGCGGTCTCCTCGTCCTCCCACACCCACGCGGCGGGGCGCTTCCTCCTCCCCGTCCCCGTCCGGGGAGCACTGCGGAGCGGCGTCGGCCCGGGGAGCCCCGGCGCGGCCTCCAGCGCCTATCAACCCGCTCACCGGCTTCTCTTCGCCTCCCATCTTCCCGACAGGTTTGCTAGCTATCTCCTCCGACATCCGCGAGCCACGAAGGAAAGATGGAAGCCCAAAGCGACCGTCTCCAGGAAACGAGAGCGCTCCGAGGAGGACCAGGCAGCCCGCGAACACTGCGCTTGCGCCACGTGGGCCAAATGGACAGCTGATGCAATCAGCAAGCGCCCAAACCCCGCCTCCCAACCGGCCCGTGGAAAGAACAGCCAATTGACAACGAGGAGAGGCGGGCCCTGCTGGCCCTAAGCCAATGGGAAAGTTCCTTTGGTGACAGCCCTTCAGGGAAGGAGGGCGCGGTGAGGGCGGAAGGGGGGCCGCAATTGGCTCTCCGCACTGGACTGCACTCTTTCAGAGCTGGAAGTACCTCAGTGCGCGTGCGCTATCCTTTCACCACCGACTTTCCGCCGGCCAGTCAAGGACTTTTCCAGCCACAAAAAGCAAATGAGTCGAATCGATTCGGACGTCGAGGTAACGCCTAGCAACAACAACATGACAAATTGGCTCAGCTGGGCTAAAGCTTCCCAGCAGGACCCAGCGATTGGAACGACGTTCCTGACCGGGAGACTGTGCAGAGTCCAAGGTCTCCTGCAGCTCCGACCAGCCTCTTCCGGGGCCATTGCCTTTTCTGCGGCCCTCTCAAGCCCCTCAGCCTTAAAGGAATGGAGCGCTCCGCTTAGCAACCACACTGAGCTTTGGTGGTAGTGTGGCCTACCACTCACTGGCTGGTAACCACCAGGTCGGTAGTTCGAAACCAACAGCCACTTCGGGAGAAAGATGAGGCTGTATATTTCCCGAAGCCCACAGGGGCCGGTCTCCATTCTACCATGCCCTCTAGGGTCACTTAAGTTGGAATCGAGTTGATGACAATGAGTTTGCGTTTTTGTTGTTGTTTTGACAACCCAGGTTTTCAAGACCCTAGTCTTTGTTGTGTTTTAGGACACCAAAGAGACCTTATCCCAAATAGAATTTAAGGAGAACCTTTATGAGACACAGACAACACAAAGGTACAGGCACATCATCTGGATGAGGGAGGCTGTTAGCACAAAGTCAAAATGCCATCAAAGGATCCCAGCTAGGACACCAGATAAAGAGGGAACCAAAGGAAATATCACAAATTCATGTGAGGCTGCATATCAATACCTCAGGTACAGGCTATCCAACCAGGAACAGCAGGACCATGACTGGGACACATGTTAGATGGAGGGACTTACAAGACCAGTTCAGGGCCTTCGCGAAGGCAGTCAGGGTGAGACTATGGGTCCCCAGTAAGGGGTTAAACACTGGGCCGCTAACTACAAGTTTGGAGGTCTGAAGAAAGGTGGCAGAGGCTGGAACTCACAAGCCCCCGTGGGAGAAAGATGTAGCAGCCTGCTTCCCTAACGAGTAATGCCTTGGAAACTGTGGGGCTGTCCTATACTGCCCTTCAAGGTTGCTGTGAGTCAAAATCCACTCTACTGTTTGAAGCAAACAACCTTAAATATAAACTTCCCTGCCATCTAGTTGATTCTTTCTCATAGTGACATTGTGGGACAAGGTAGAACTGTCCCTGCGTTTCAGAGACTGTAATTCTTGATGGGAGTAGAAACCACCGAGTGGATGGTTTTGAACGACTGACCTTGTAGCAGCCCAACCTGGAATTATAGCTCATGACCCTTAAGTAGAAATAGGCATTACACAGGTAAAAACTTCAAGCAAGCACAACTTGGGATTTTTGCCAGTACCTAGCATCTGAATGAGAGAAAGATGGGTTTTTCTACTACCCTAGAGTTACAATTTTGGAAACCCACAGGGGCAGTTCTACCCTGTCCCTTAGGGTCGCTGTGAGCTGAAATGGATGATGGCAATAAGTGAGTGTGAGTGAGCATCTGAATCCACTCAGCAATGAGTTTGTTTTTCTTGGAGGGCACACGTAAGCCTGGCAAGCAGCTACAATGACTGTTCTATAGCAGCAGTTCAGTAGCTATTGAAGGGATTAAAGATAATTGAGACAATCTTTACCTGGAAAATTACCTCTTAATCTGTATTGTCAAAAGTAAGTAATTTGCTTTATAATAAAAGTAGGTTGTTGTGTTCTAAAATTGATTATGGTGATGATTACACAACTTTTTTGATGTGATTGAACTATTGAATTGTATATGTGAATTATAAGCCAATAAAACTGTTCAAAAATGTTTCTAAAAAGGTTATTAGTAGTACTCCTGTTTGCAAGATGGTTTACAAGAAACTCTTGGAGTTTTAGTTGTCTTATGTGGATCGGGTTGACATGCCCCCACTTAACGTTAAATGAGAATCAATAGGATCCAGACAGCCTCTGTTGTAAAACAGTTATGCTCATTGAACATATTTGCCTGAATTCTATCTGAATTTTAGAAAAGAGTGCGGAGGACCAGAGAGAACCCAAGTAGTGAATTTGCTAGCAACAGAACCAGAGCTGGCTCTTGTCTTGGAAAACCAAACTCATAACAACCCTATAGAATAGAGTAGAACTGTCCTTGTGGGTTCCCGAGACTGTATCTTTTTACAGGGAGTAGAAAGCCTTGTCTTTCTCCTGCATAGCA